CTTTTTTGTTTGCTTTGCTTCTGGTTATGTCTAGTGTGATGAAATGCATTAGGTAGGAAGTTAAATTAAGCTTTTTTTTTTTTTTTTTCTTCCTGCTTTTCTTAATGGATTAATTAGGGAATAATAAAGAAACTGGGAAGTCATCCACCTCCCTGCCTGCCTACACTGCTCTATTTGACCCCCCTTCTAATGAAAGGTGAAACAAATTTGCTGAGTGATCCGAAACCACTGGGAATACACTTTTAAGGTGTTGATTTTTGGCACACTTTTTGCTTTAAATGGACACTAATATTGCTATGAACAATTTTGATTCAGATCTTGTTTGTTATATGTTTAAGTCTACAAAGGATATTTAGACCACTGCTTGTGTGCGAGAGGGGATTATAGATTAGGAAGCACAGAACTGTGGAATGTGTTTGAGTGACTCTGCAATGCCTGAAAGCCATAGTCTGTGGTATCCTTCCCAGTTTTGGTGTTCCTCTTTCTGACCCTCAGGCATCTCAGGGCCAGCTCATATTCCTGGATTCCCTAGTGGCCATTTTGTAGGGCTTCATTTCTAAAGTCAAATTTGCTTGTGCACTGTGCCCTTGGAAGATTCAGAAAAGGAGCAGTTTCCCTAAGACAGAGGTCAAGGGTCCTGCATTCTCCCAGAGGAGAATGAAAAATCCTACAAGCTTTAACCACACTGCTGTGCTGGACACTGATAGAAGTCACAAGACTGCTCCAACTGCTGATGACAAAAGGTACTTAGCAGATTATATTTGCTAAAATAATTGCATGCCCATGTTCTCTGTATTGTGGGAAACCAGATATAGTGAATGCAGGGTCCTGGGTTTAGTAACACTTTAAGCAGTAAAGCCTAAAGCACAGTTGGGGGCCAGTGTTGTCAATTTTTGTTGCAACTTGCCTACATCATCATTCAGCGATATACATCGCCCCTCACTTTAGACTTCTGTGTTCTTCCTAGGATATTAACCTAGTATTGTTGGTGCTGCAAAATAAGCTTTTTGAGAATATCTGGAAGATCAGCTGTTGGTGTTATCAAAGTAAGTGGCATTTCTGGTGGCAATTACTTTGGCATGCTGGTCCTCTAAACTGTAGCATAGTCCTGCAAGCTGTAATATTTGGTGCTTCATAAAGATAGTCATCCTGCATCCCAGACTGTACTCCTTGCCAAACGTGGTATCAACTTTCTGTATCGTACTTCCATCTCTCTGTCCCAGGCCAGTCCACAATAAGGAAATTACCTTACATTCCTTAGGAGTACTTAAGGCAGTTGGGGTGTATTTGAATGCCATGATTGGGTTGTGTAGGAGAGACCCTGTGGGCCCAAGCAAAGGACTTTCAACAGTGATTGCTACAATCATATGCTGGGTACAGCAAACAATCCTGCAAGAGTATGCCATCAAGCACTGAGAACCATTGTTTCTGGTCACAGCACACTCAATCAAGGTGGTAGGTACAGTACATCCTGGGCCACCATCGAGCATTACTTTCGCAGCGTTGTTAGGTATCCACTTGGTCATCAGTTCAAACATTCACTGAGTTTTACAAGAGAAAATACTTTTCTCTGCATTCATTGGAGGAATTTATACCCCACCTTCTGCCTAGATGCTGATGCTGGCTTGAAGCTTTTCTTTTTAAATATTATTGTTTTTTGCACTGCTATGCCATGTAGCTGATTTGTGAACAGCTGTGGACAGGGGCTGCCCCCGGGCTGACTTTTTTTTTTTTTTCTTCTCAGTGCACTTCGCATCCTACTTCTGCAGGTGATGATATACCACCAGTCAGTAATCATCTAAAGCAGAGCTGTGTCCTCCAATGAACACAGAGAAATGACAGCGAGTGCAAAAATTCCATTTTTTTTTATGTGCATACCTGACTATTTCATCTGGTTCTATCCAATTCTGAAACAACTTTTTAAAAGTGCATGTGTATGTTGTACGGATAGAAATAAACAAAAAGGATTTATGGTTTAGAATCCAGGTTCTCTGAGCTTGAGTACAAGTTTTGTTTTTACAAATCTAAAACCTTCTCATTTTCAACCCAATAGGGATACTTTCAACTGAAGGCAAATCCAGGAGCATGGATGTTAAGACTTCGGAAAGGAAAATCGGAAGATATCTATCACATAGTCTCGTGAGTACTCGAGCAGACAATCTTTTGCCTGAATGCTTGGCTTTGTGTGTGATGCAGATGGGAATACATTAAATCGGTCTGCTACAAAGATGCCAGTTAATAAATAAGAATGTTGTCTTTACATTGCTTGAAATGAATGATTTGCACTGTGTTTAGTGTTACATTTATTAACACCAGACGCTTTCAATGGGTTATGTGAGTTTATGAATCACCTGTGTTTCATACGCCTCCGTGTATGACAGTTGATAGAATCCAGGAGCTTATGATACTAAATAAAATAGTGCTTCTGTCAAAAGAAACATGAAGAAAACTCATGAGTATAAACAGAAGAGCGTTCATCCATCTAATTGTAGGCTGTTTATTAAAAATTAAAAGGAATAAGAATAATGCATTCATTGAATTTGAAGAAATAAAAGCATGTCACTATGGTGGTGCTGTCCCCAGTGTGGTAGCTCCAGGATGCAGAGTTTGGCAGGTAAGCTGCTGGTCTGGCCTGTCAGGTAAGTGGCTGGTAGCTTATCCTCTGGCCGGGAATCCACTGGAGAACCTTGAGGTAGAAGGCAGGATGCGGTGTAGAACACAACCCATCTCTCACTAGTTGTTGGCTTTGGGGTATATTAAGCAGCTATCGGAGAACCCTGAGAATGTCAGGATGCCGGGGGAAGGGGGGGCGTGGTTTTGTGTTTTCAGGCAAAAAGCGCTGCCCTTTGTCTAACCAAGAAGAAAACTCATATCTCTCATCAGCCCTGTAATTAAACCTATTCACTGTTGAAATCTTACTTAGCATCTTTGATAGCAAAAGTATGCTGAAAATGTTTGTTTTTGTTATGGTAGTATATTAATGCAGGTGAACCTTTTCACATCAGATGAACGCTTATAGTCACTGACATACTTGCACACATTTTAAGCCATGTACATTGGCTTTTGCTAATCATGGTCATTTGACATTAAGTTTTCCACAAAACAAAATACATATATTTCTCTCCACCAGGGCTTGACAAAGTTAGGAGCCAGCTTAAAAAAGTTAGGAGACAGTTTTTTTTTTGTGTTTTTTTTTTTTTTTTTTTTAGCTAAAAAAGAAAATATTTGATTGATTTACTTTGGGGTCAGATGGCTGTCTCATTCAATTGCGGTGCTGCTGGGTTGGATGGCTTTCTCACTGGGTGGTTTCAGGGGATGCATGTCCCTTTGGGGCTCTTGTGTGTGGGGATTCAACACTTGAGGTTATTGGGGCTGGAGTTTTTAGCGTGTGTATTGTGGTGTGGACTGGACTCACCTCCTTGCTTGTCTCTGGAAGCACACACGGGACTGTTGGTGGTGGTGGGGTTGGGGGATTACAGTGTGCACGGATTGGCTGGTGCCGAGGAAGAGAGGGGGGTCACCATGGTGGTCTTGGTATTTACAGTAAGTATAATGCCTATAGCCACAAAAAGACCAGTACCTCTTTCACTTTCTATCTCTTTAATCTGGCTGTAGACAGGTTTTAACTGCCTATAATGGTTTATGCCACTAACCAATTGTTAGGGAGTCCTTTCAATTGTGTTCTGAATCATTAACCACTACATAACTTGGTGGTCTTGGTAATTACAGCAAGTCTAGTGGAGTAAAGTCTAATGTCTATAGCCACCAAAAGACCAGTGTCGAGAAAGTGATATTGGGGGGGTTTAACCGCCTGCAATGGTTAAAATGATTGCTTTCTGTTTAAGCAAAGATACTTTAGATACAGTATACCACTGAACAATTTATTTTACCTTCATGATTCACATAAGTAAATTTCAATTTGGAGATTTAGTGGTCCTTAAAATTGATACCAAACTTTTTCATTGTGTTTATGACTGTTTTTATTACTGTGTTTTATAAAGAATTTTATACCTTTTTTTTTTTTTTGGTCACGCTTGTTAAAGGGTCAAAAAAGGACAATTGCCTTTGCTGGCATATCACATAATATCAGACCTTCACCTTTTGTTAAGCTTTTCACTATGCCACATCTAAAAGGCAAAACCGACCCCCATTTTTATGCAGGGCTTTACTGTCTAGTTACCTAGAACCACCAATCAGATTTAGACTTTGAGCAGTTCAGAGCTGTCATACCACTGACATATGGCTTTGGACATTTGGTTAATCGTGATTTTAGACACACAGAAAAAAAACTTGGCACCCACTCAAATCAATTTATTATCAGCAAAAGTAACATGCGGAGCAGTACACAGACCAATATACAGTATCTCACAGAGGTAAGTCCACCCCTCACATTTTTGTAAATATTTTATTCTATCTTTTCATGTGCCAAAACTGAAGTAATGACACTTTGCTACAATGTAAAGTAGTGAGTGTACAGTGTAAATATGCTGTCCCCCCAAAATAACTAAACACACAACTATTAATGTCTAAACCGCTAGCAACAAAAGTGAGTAAGTGAAAATGTCCAAATTGGGCCCAAAGTGTCAATATATTGTGTGGCCACCATTATTTTCCAGCATTGCTTTTAACCCTCTTGGGCATGAAGTTCACCAGAGCCTCACAGGTTGCCACTGGAGTCCTCTTCCACTCCTCGACATCACGGAGCTGGTGGATGTTAGAGACCTTGAACTTCTTCACCTTCCGTTTGAGGATGCCCCACATATGCTTAATAGGGTTTAGGTCTGAAGACATGCTTGGCCAGTCCATCACCTTTACCTTCAGCTTCTTTAGCAAGGCAGTGGTCATTTTGGAGGTGTGTTTGGGGTCATTATCATGTTTGAGCACTGCCTTGTGGCCCAATCTCCAAAGGGAGGGGATCATTCTCTGCTTCAGTATGTCACAGTACATGTTGGCATTCATGGTTCCCTCTATGAACTGTAGCTCCCCAGTGCCGGCAGCACTCATGCAGCCCCAGACCATGACACTCCCACCACCATGCTTCTGTAGGCAAGACACACTTGTCTTTGTACTCCTCACCTGGTTGCCGCCACACGCGCTTGACACCAGCTAAACCAAATCCGTTTATCTTGGTCTCATCAGACCACAGGACATGGTTGCAGTAATCCATGTCCTTAGTCTGCTTGTCTTTAGCAAACTGTTTGTGGGCTTTCTTTTGTATCCTCTTTAGAAGAGGATTCCTTCTGGGATGACAGCCATGCAGACCAATTTGATGCAGTGTGTGGCATATGGTCTGAGCTCTAACAGGCTGACCCCCCACCCCTTCAACCTCTGCAGCAATGCTGGCATCACTCATATGTCTATTTCCCAAAGACGACCTCTGGATATGACGCTGAGCACGTACCCTCAACTTCTTTGGTCGACCTTGGCGAGGCCTGTTCTGAGTGGAACGTGTCCTGTTAAACCACTGTATGTTCTTGGCCACCATGCTGCAGCTCAGTTTCAGGGTCTTGGCAATCTTCTTATACAGTAGTCTAGGCCATCTTTATGTAGAGCAACAATTCTTTTTTTCATATCCTCAGAGTTCTTTGCCATGAGGTGTTGAACTTCCAGTGACCAGTATGAGAGAGTGAGAGCGATAACGCCAAATTTAACACACCTACTCCCCATTCACACCTGAGACCTGGTAACACTGAGTCACATGACACTGGGGAGGGAAAATGGCTAATTGGGCCCAATTTGGACATTTTCAGTACTTGGTGTACTCACTTTTGTTGCCAGCAGTTTAGACATTAATGGTTGTGTGTTGAGCTATTTTGAGATGACAGCAAATTTACACTGGTATACAAGCTGTACACTCACTACTTTACATTGTAGCAGTGTCATTTCTTCAGTGTTATATGAAAAGATATAAAATATTTACAAAAATGTGAGGGATGTACTCACTTCTGTGAGATACTGTAATACAATTATTCAATAGGATAAACGTTTACCAGCTAGTCCACTTGCAAACAACTGCAACACTTCGTTAAACGTTTTTTGTTGCACCAAACATGTGAAGCTATAATTTAAACAATTTGCATTAAAAACAAGTTTTTGCTGCATATACCTACATGTGAAACCAAATTGCCACATCGATAAAAAAAAACCTAAAAAAGCAAATTGAGAGCTGTTTACCCCTAAAAGTGCAGAGACACATCAGAATCCTAGAATCACCTAATGTCAAATGAAAACTATATATATCTCCACCAACAAATACATGATCACTCCAGGTTGCAATTATAAGGCAGTATTATCGTTTTCCAACTAGTGAATACTTAGTCAAGCATTTTTGCAAATTTTTCAAGGCTTGTTTTTGCCTGTGTTAAGTAAACTCCTCCCCCTAATACTTTTCATTGGTCAAAACAAAATGGAAAGAAGATACACATGTAAAAAGTGTTGTAAACCTCCGTTTGTATTGAGTTCTGCCTGTCTGCTGGCCATCTTTTTTTTATCTGCTTCCTGGATCCCCTGCATGCCTTGCAGCTTCTGCTCTGCTGTTTACTTTCTATTTCTAAGGACTACATAGCCCATAATACTTTGCCGCCTGCAATCATTGATTCCTGTACTGACTCTGCCTCCTGAAACTCCCCCCCCTTACCACCTTTTTGGTTCAGAAGGCAATCTCTGTGCCATGTGTGACACAGCAGTTGCTCCTCATAGTTAATACGAAATTAAGGAAATAATAGTGTGGGGATCTTCAAAAAGTAAGTTTGCAAACTTCAACATTGCTCAGATTAGTAGGAGTAGGCTAGAAATACAATGTAGAAATGAATATATGATAGCTATTCTGTTAATGTATATATTCCTTCAGTGCCTCTCCACAGAGCAGAGCTAGAAAACTGCCTTCATAAAAGTGGATACATCATCTTTATTCCCCACCGAAACAGCTTTTTAAGTGCATTAAAGTTGAATTCCCTTCAATTTGAAAAAGATTCTGGAGAGCTCAGTAAATATTTAATGTCAGGATAATAGACACAAGTTTGGCAGACAGTCAATTTCTACTCTTGATCTATGGTCTGTTAATTAACAGAGATCTCACCTTTGTTCTGTCACTAAATGCCTCTTGTCGTAAAGTGACTTGATGAAATTATATCTGCAAGGCCTCACATTAAAATTACATTTTTTAAAGTTTAAATTCCCTCATAGGACTTTTTTTATTAAAAATTAAAACAGTTTAATCACTATGTGATATGTTTTAGATTAAAACGGCCCTTCATTGTGGTGAACTTAATGATGACCATTTCATGATATATGTAAATTTCTGAATCTTTTCACTTAAAATGAACTTAGAAATTGTTGTACATTTTTTTTTTGTAGCATGCTTCTAGTTTTATAGTTTTATGGTAATTTAAATATATATTTCTTTGTGACTGAACCTTCTGCAAGTATTACGTTTTTTTTTTATACCTTATTTGTTAAAAGGTATACGGATCTTGTACATATTTTTATAGTTAAGAAAGGAAAAGGAAATCCTGATAAGCTGCCACCATCCCTATATGATTAAATACAGTTGTAGAAAAAAAAAACCCTACACTGAATGGGACTTTGAAGGCATTTGTACATATATAAATTCTTTATTTTTCAAACAATTCCATAAAATTATGGCATACCACACCATTAATACAAACCATGATATTGTACATATTCTTATATCACCATTGGAGGATATCATACAATAGTTAAACAATGGTCCTAAATGATTACATAGATGGTCCTGCTGAAATCTGGCACATTTCGGAGCTATATAACTCCTTCCTCGGGGATAGCAGACACTCTGAGTAAAGGTGTATGTGTGTGTATATATATATATATATATATATATATATATATATATATATATATATAGTAATGTGAGAGAATCAAAACGTGAATCAGTTTTCAATCATAAAAACAAACTCCAAAGTCTTCTGCATCTTCCGGCCAGGGCGCCTGTGTGCTACGGGCATTCAAGAGTCCCACCCAGATGGAACACAGGAGCCAACCCAGATCATGTTATATTTATGGGGGATCTCAGTGTTCTCAAAATGGATATATTGACATCCGCATAGGTGAGTCATAGATCGTATATATACGGTAGGTCTCCACAACTTTATCTCCAAACATACCATGTGCCCCATCGCAAATAGTGTCTCATCATCATGAGAGGTCCAAGCTGGCACCTCTAGGTCAAGAGTCCACGAGTTGTTCATCTATTGTATGATATCCTCCAATGGTGATATAAGAATATGTTCAATATCATTGATTGTCTTAATGGCATGGTATGCCATAATTTATGGAATAGTTTGGGAAAAAAAAGTGTTTAAGTACAAATGCCTTCAAAGTCACATTCAGTGTAAGTCCCACAGAGGTTCTCAATCGGATTTAAGTCTGGTGAGGGGGCCACTCCAAAATGTTCCAGCCTTTCCTCTGCAACATGCTCTAGTGGACTTGGAGGTATGCTTGGGATCATTGTCCGTTGAAAGGTCCAACGTCTCCCAAGCCTCAGGTGTGTGACGGACTGCATCACTCGTTTCCATCCAATATCTCCTGGTATCCAGTGTTTTTTTTCACAGTAGGCAAGGTGTTCTTTTCATCATATCCATGGGGTTCTAATTTTGTTTCATCAGTCCACAGAACACTATCCCACAACTTTTGTTTTTTCTTTTTATGCAGTTTTATAGTTTATGGTCAGAAAAATAAGAATTAAAGGCATTTAAAAGGAAATTGTGTAACTGTATTGTGTTTGTGCCCTTTTGAGCCTGCAGGTGGAACTAGTCTCTTTTTATGTTTTTCAGACTTTGTTTGCTTCATTGATATAATACCTATAAGAAGCCTGTTTACAGAATTCTTTACGTCATCATAGAAATTACTAACCCCTTATCACATGGCTTAGTAGGATGTTTCAGTCAGACAAAGGGAACTGCAAGGCAAGCAGTTTCTCCTGTGTTCTCAGTAAGTCCTGGTTCACACTGCTGCTACTTCTTGTGTGATGCAGAAAGTCGCATGGCAAGTCAAAACACATTTCAATGGGTGCTGTCTCCATTGCTACGACCCCTTATCACATGGCTTAGTAGGATGTTTCAGTCAGACAAAGGGAACTGCAAGGCAAGCAGTTTTCTCCTGTGTTCTCAGTAAGTCCTGGTTCACACTGCTGCTACTTCTTGTGTGATGCAGAAAGTCGCATGGCAAGTCAAAACACATTTCAATGGGTGCTGTCTCCATTGCTACGACTCAAGTTGCAGCAACAAAAAAATAGTTCCTGCACTGCTTTTCTGCATCTTCCTTGTGATATGAGTGCCATAGATTGCAGTGGTAAAATCACAAAGGTTGTTTCTTTGTCTTATCTTTGCGACTTTGGCTGCAACTTCAGAGGGTTTTGTAAGTTCAATAATATGTGTCACACTCTGTATTGTTATGATTTGCCATAGTCGCAAGACTTCAAAGTGCCATGAAAGTCGCAACACAAAGTCACACTGGAAGTTGTGCGACTTTGGGGTTGCAGCAGTGTATGCCGAGCCTGAGGCTAGTTTATACTGCTCTAGGAAATCTTTTCAATGTGTCAAAACAGAGATTCTATATATAGTTAATAATATGCACCATGTGTGGCAGATCTGTGCAGTCTTTTTATAAGAAAGGCAAGGTGACTGCAACCTGAATGTTTGCTCCCTTTAGTGGTTTATCTACAAATCTCTGTATATAATGCAATAACAATAATATAGAAAAGCAAGTATGTAAAAAGAAAAAAAAGGAGGCACATCAAAAGTTCTTTAATAAATTATATTATACTTTCCTACATGCTCAAGGAATACATTAGCTTGAGAAAAACCCTGGTAAGTTGTTGCTTTGGTTTCCTTTAGTAAACGGTATTATTGCATGCAGCAGAATTTGTAACCCTCAATGCAAGAATTACTAGTACTTGGACCTCTCCATTTTTACAACACATCTGCTGACTGCCTTTGTTATAGCAGGCATTGTGCTTGCAGTGATGGACATAATTGTCAATCTACTAAAAGAATCAGGTGGATGCTTAGTTCATATCAAGATATTTCTGACAGATTTGTCTGTATTTGCAGCCCTTCCACCTCCAAATCTAGATAGCCAGCTACAGTAGTTTTGAAGAGATTTTAAGAGAGTTAGCATTTTTCTGAATTAAACATACTGTATTCACAGTTAAGCAGTGCATATGGGCATATTTACACATGGCACAGTGCTGCTACTTAGAAGCAGAGGGATGCATTTCTAAATTGGGATAGTAAATACAAAAGGGTATTTAACCATTTGCCGCCCGGCCAATGGCCGTTTGGCGGCTGCAAAAATGCACTAGATTTCCGGGGTGGACGCCATTTGGCGTCCTTCTGCACATGTGCAGTTTTCGCGCTTGCAGAGCCGCGCAGCGGCGCGATCTGTCACCGGCCGTGTACCTCGGACATGGCTGATGACAGATCTGAGTACTGGCCCCGTTGCCGGTACCATGTGACCTGCTGTGACCAATCACAGCAGGTCACATGACCGTTGTATACAATGGATGGCTTCATTCATGCCATCCATTGTATACTAGTGTCTAGCTGTGAATGGTCACA